GTCAGGTTTTTACTGTGGATATCAGTTCTCGAGGAAAGTATTAATGCCCAGGCACAGCAATACTCAAGCTTCACCCTGCCCCTATGAAATAGCTAAAAAACTGTAATGTTATAGAATTGAAAAAAAAAGTAGCAGTGTGTGTAGACCATTGCAGGGTGCAATACGATTTATTATGTAAGCATAAGAAAAATTGCCAGGTTCTACTCCAATGTAACAGCTGGAAGGTTCAAGAATGCTGTAGTTTTGAAAGATTCAGTGTTGTAGACGACGGGATATCAATTTACACGACCACAGAATTGATCATGGCTTATCCAACTTTATTGCTGCATGTTTTGTGCTCATAAAGGTTACTAATTAGCTTTATACGTATTACAAAAGCTAAGCTCATCATTGGCTTCTAATTACCTAAGTTATATTTGCGCAAATGCTATTCCTTTCACCTTCTTATGGTTACTTGTTTGCTATTTGCTCTGCTTTCCCATCCGCTTTATTCTATTCTTCTGTCACGTACCCAGTTTCTCAAATACAGTGACCTTCTAATAGTTTTCTCTTACCGTGGGACCAGAGCTAAAACTTCTCTCTCATGTCCTCTTTCTATCAACCATGTTTCTGTAATACTTTCCACACTTCCCCCATTTTCCTTAGACATTGTTAAAAATACATCATTCATTGCTTTCATTAGCATGTTCTATATACACTTAAAAACACAAGGAATGACGCATAAAGCAGCTAACAATATCAGCAAAAGTGAAATAGCTTGTTTAGTGATCTCAGTGAGCCATGGTCCTAAGCCTAACTTTGCTAACCATTCCCTAATAGGATCTTTTTGGATTTCAAAGTCATTCAAATGACCTTGCATTTCTTTTAGTTTTTGGTAGATGGACTGAGAGTGATCAGAGAGATTCATACAACACATGCCTTCAAATTCCTCACATCCATGCCCCTGAGCCAGCAATAGAAAATCTATAGCTGCTCTGTTGTGTAAAACAGCATGTCTTATTTCATCAAAGTCATGAGCCAATTCTCCCAGAATTCTCGAGGTTCTATTCATTTGATTCCTCGCCCAACAAGCTGTTCTTTGGACAAGAATCAAACTCTTTTTTGCTCTGATGGGGGCAAATATGGATGCAAAGAAGTTTGCCGTAGGTGACCAAAATTCAATGGGTTGGTTTTCTACTGATTTACAGTATTTATCGAATTCAGTGTCTCGTTTGTTCCGAATATTTTTCCTTTTCAACTGTGTTATTTGTCTCATAGTGGGTGTAAACATAGTCAATTTTCCCAAATAACATGGTCCACCAATAGGGTATCTGGGAATGCCAGACCACGCTCTATTACCACAAATCAAGAAATAACCAGGTGGTAAATATTTTGGCTTCGTCACACTGACTGACACGTTTTTGACATAGCCTTGGCACCAGGTTATATTATCATATGGAGGGTTCTGTGCTGTTATGTTTGTAGTGGATATATTCTCAATCGTTTGTTGCCATTGTAGAAAAGTCTTTTCCTTATTTATATTGAGTCTAAAGCAAGAGTCATTTCCATACACAGCTCCAAATAATTGTAACTCACTAGGGCTATCTGTCATGGTCCTGTTTAGATTAGCCACTAACAAAAGAGATGTCATACCTTTGGTGCCGTTTGTGCATTCTTTTGTTACATTGCAGGCTAATTCCACCTCAGTTTTGTTATGATTAGAGCCAACCCATCCTGCAAAATCACTTGTGTCAAGGTAAGGAATGCCAATCAGACACGTTTGAAAAGGATCTGACGCTGAGGCTAAACTTAGACAGAAGTCCAATTGACCTGTTTGGTTGGCAAACGTTACCCAAATGTTTTCTCTGGGCCCAGCAGGGATACTGGGATGTCCTTGTGTTATCAGAATTATCTTCAAAATCCAAAACCATAAAGAAATCATCATTTTCTTTTAAATTTTCGACCATGTATCTCTACACAAAAATCTAGATATTGTTGTGAATACTGTGATTATATTTCCTGACACAAAGATCTGAATATTTCTGTGGATTCCCTTGAAAGGCTCCGTCAGGTATTATAACTGTTAAAGGTGTTCTTTTCCGACAAAGGGCAGCTATTATCTTAATGCCTTTTATGATACCTATGCGCTTGATAATATGCTT